TTAAGATCCAGACGTCCAATGACTTGTTCCCTAATCAGAATCCGTGGATGAACCAGGAGGTCCGCCTCCTGCTAAAGGCATGTGACACTGCTTTTAGATCTGGCGACGCGCAGGCTTTTAGTACATGCAGGGCTATAAACTGTTTGCCCTCCTCCCCTCTGGCAGGTGCTACAGGTCTCTCCGTTCCCGTACTAGCAGGCTCAGGAACAGCTTTTTCCCATCAGCTGTCACCCTGCTAAACTCTGCATCGAGGAGACCCCCCTTCCCCCTGAACTCCCACTCCACCCATAACCTCCATGGACTGAACTGTTTCTCTTACCATATTCTTCACCACTGACCCCCTTTCTACTTTACAGCCACACTGATTGAAGGGTAGATGTCAAGATATGATAAGCTTAACACTTATGTAAGCAATCAAAAAAACTATTGGATTTGATACAAAAATACAAAGAAATTGATTTTTGGCATACACAATATGGGTATAATATAATTTGAGACATAATCTTAAAGTTTTATTCTGGATTTTATTCCGGATTTTTCTTTATTCTGGACTTCATTCTGGACTGACTGTCTGGAATGGTGAAAAACAGTAGTTCACTAAAAGGGCTTTTCCTGTGAGGATCTAATTTTTATCAGCAGCTTTTGTTCCATTTACACTGGGAAAAAAGTGAATCACCCACTCACAAATAAGTAAGTAAAAGTACATTATTTTCTGAAAATCTGTTGCTGGGTAATTCAGATCAAATTCCCTTTAAGTTTCTTTCAAAAATTCAAGTTGAGATGCTTTTGAAAATGAGTGCCCTGGCAGTTTCTCTCCTCGTCAAAGAAAAGATTTGAAGGCCGAGCACAAGATTGGATAACGCAGAGGTTTTGGCAGCGAAGGATCCACAGGCGTTGGAAATTGCTGTTGGAAAAATGCTGCGAGATAGACCACACAATAAGATGAGACAGTGGAATTCTAACAGTAGTTCATTCTGTCAAACCACAATGGTATGAATAGCCAGATCGCATCGAATAACCTTCACTTTGAAGCCCTAAAAAAACACTGCCCTAAAGCTGCATGGATACCAATATTTAAGTTCAGGAAGTTATGTGGTATATCAGACATTTTTCCAAGTTTTGGATTTGAACTTTTGAACATTATTTGGAAGCCAGCAGTGAACCCCCTCAAGCATTAGGGTGTTTTGGATTATCTTCAAGAGAAACCAGCAGAAGACACTACTGTAGCATGCAGTGGGAATATTCACCACTGTCTTCAAGTAAACACCATGGCGAGCACAGACGTGGAGGCCAGGGGGAGTAATTATCTGTCCGCCTTCCCCCCTTTTTCTTCCTCTCACCACCAACAGCACACCCAGCTGCTCAGTTAGCATGTAGATGTTGATATTAGCCACGCTAGGTCTGATCCAGGGTTCTCATTTTAAAAGAAACAGAAGTTAGAGTTAATACTGACGAGTGCTGTGGGAGCATGAAACCTCCTTAATGTTCTGAATGTATTTAACGGTATGTTACTGTAGTTTCAGCCGAACCTGGTGTGCTGCTGCTGATCTAACTTTACTGCCCTGATGTTAAACTACTTATAGTCAACAAGTGATTTGTGTTTCTTTGTCAGATAACACTGTCCAGCTGCACTTACTGATTTCTTACTGCCATCCCATTATATCTGGAGTGGTGTAATATTTGCCAATTTTCGATCTTGGCTCTGCTGATGAATTGAGAATGAGATTAGTCAATGATATAAAACATTTTAGCTCAAAGAGCCATTGATGGGTTGCAGGTGAGCTCACAAGATCTTTTTGTTTTGAAAAGAGGCTACAGTTTGTGAAAGTTAGAGGTTCCTTACAGCACAGCACACCACAGCAAGACATCTATGCAAGCATGTTACTGTATCAGCATGTATGATGCCAGACACACACTTCACCAACAGCTATGGCAATATGATACTGTGCTTTCATACAGAGAAAAGTATAATTTCCACATTAAAATCCTTAAAAAGTCCTCCTTCGGGCGCTCGGTTAGCTCAGTCGGTAGAGCTGGCAACCCATGTACGGAGTTGCTGCAGCGGCCCAGGGTTCGAATCTGACCTGCCACCCTTTGCTGCCTGTCATCCCCTCTCTCTCTGCCCACCTTTCCTGTCTATCTTCAGCTGTCTCTATTGAATAAAGGCAATTAAAGGCCTCCTTCTACCTCATTGAAACTTCCAGAATCTCTGAACATGCAAATGTTGTTTATTTCTAAAGTTTTCCTGCTGGACACAAGATGTCTCCTACTTCACTGTGAAGTCCATTCTTAGTATGACCGGTTTCAAGTTTATACTTGTAATATCATGATTGTTAGAAATTATAGACACAGAATTGTATAAAATACCTGGGAAACTGGGAAATCGATATTCACAGGAAATAATCTGCTCTAAATTCATCCAGATCTCTTGTTCTTCTGCACATACAACATTCAAACAGCACACTGTAGCAGAAAGAAGACACCCTGATTTTTGAGTAGAGGCAGAATATGTTTAACCACATGGCTTCATTCTCCCATCTCCTTTGTCATACAGATCTCTAACATGTATGGAATATGTTATGTGTGTCTCTATTGTTTTTTCAAGTTCTGCCTTTCAGAGCGTGAAGAAATGTGAAAACCATGTTGCATGCCAGTGAAAACTTCTCCCGCTGGGTCGCCCTCACACTTGCTGTATAACAAGCTGTTAG